CTTGCTGAAGTCTTTGTTGCAAGCATGCTTCTTGCATCGAAGGTGTTGACCATGTAGGAAATAATTTACCACACTTGCAGTTAAATAAGAACATTTGCTTATTTGAAACTCTTCCTTCTTCAAAAGAACGTTTGTTTATAGTGCAGAGTAGAATTTCTGCGATAACTCTGACAACACGTTTCTCATGTTTCACTTCCATGATATAACCGTTGATTTACTCTTCCAAGGTTACTAAATTCATTTGAGCCCCTAATAAAAATGTTTGGCATATACAAATTCCCACAATACTTTTTCTATGGATCTGAAATATTTTTGCCTTTTAGTCCATTCAGCTATCAAAGGCTAGAAAGCGTCTAGAAATGGCTAGGAGTGGGATTGAACCTGCTCATAGAAAGGATTCCCAGTGCCTTTAACTTCTACAGGGAGGTTGCTATCCTGAACTTGCACTGTGAGTAGTTTTTGTACTTTGATGATCTTATCATTGGGTTGATTTTTTTTTTCCCATTATGTAATAATTGAAAATGTGAAGACAAGTAGGACAAATTGGGGATCTTTGAAATAAGGTAAATTGCGCAAATTTAAATTTAATTCAGTATTTCTTATGGCCATGGTCCAGTGCGCTCTTAGCTTATCTCCGAAATCATAATGTTCAAAGCATTCTACGATTATACTTGTCTAATGTAAACCATCCAACAGTGTAATATTGAAATAGATTTTGTGAATCAGATGAAGATTACGATGATATGAATGCCTTCAACAGCTTAGATCTGTTGTTTATTTTGCAACATTTAGGCTTGATGCAGAAGTGTAATGTAGAAAAACATTTTGGACATTCGAATTCAGTTTTATCTTATATTAGATATACGATTGATTGAGTTGAGTTAATAATTATTGTGTAGTAATGGCAAAATAGACTTGTTTTATGAACATGACATTGGAGTGGAGGTAAGCACACTTCCAAGCAGGGATCTAAAGTGGCAAGCGTATCAACTTGCCGTAACATCATGAGTTAGTTTTCTCGGGAAATATGTCTATCTATACATAAGTAGTCGAGAAATCGTGGTGCTGATGTTCTCATTCTTTTCTATTCATAAATTTATGAGTGTAGAGGTTCATTTCATTATGAAATTAAAGTACAAAATAGAGATATATGTGTAATGAATAAATGATAGTGATGCATATCATGCTGTGGTATTTGGAGTGGCACTTTTTTTTTTTTTCGCCCTTTATCTGTGAAGTGTCAACTAAATGTGTTTTATTCTTTTTGCGGGGAACGGGTTTTGCCAAGAGGGATTTTAAGATTGTTAGCTATGATTAGAAGAATTGCAATTATTTATTATTATGATTATTTTTATGTCAAGTGCTTATTTCATATATATGGTGGATCAAAAAATTATTGTCAAAAAAGGTAATGAGACACTTTTTATTTTTTAATAATTTATTACTCATGTTATTATATATTTCATGTTTTAAAAAAATAGTTCTTCAATAGAATTCTTATCCTTGGTTTTATAATTTGTTATATGTTCTTTTTATTATATCTTTAAAGTTATGATTCTAATTTTTATGATAATGGAATGAGAAACACAACTTTAAAACTTAACACTTTGTTCAAGTTTTACTATAAGTCCCTATATTTTTCAGATAGAGAAAAGAGTAGGGACGTTGAACATCGATAAAAAAGTATAACGACCTATAACAAAATTCAAGTAAAGCACAAGGGCTTAAAGTTGTGTTTTTCCTAAAAGAATTTTGTAAACATTTTTTTATAATCACTTATCAGTTATAACTCATAATAATTTTATAAAAATAAATAATTATAATTTTACAAAACATGATTAATTATTAACTCAAAAATTATAATACAAATTCTATTACTGACAAAAATTAATGAATACTTTGAATTTATAATTTTTTTGGTTCTTTAAGTGCTTTTTTTTAAAGTATGAGTGCTTTATTTATTAAGCATGAATTTTTTTTTTGGCATGGGGAGAAGTTATATTTTTAAGAACATTAAATTATAAAATAACAAGCAATCCTTTTATTTGTCTATATACTTTTCTAACATTTCACTAAATTATTATGATCCAAGACATTGAATAACTCACGTAATATTTTATTAATAAAATAAGACATTAATTATTATAAGTTTTTCCTTATATGAAATTAGTTTTGCCAGATGCAAATAATTTTACACACAAAAAGCCTAAAGATACTAATTCATGACAAAAATAATAAGAAATCCTCAAGAATGATAAATATTATATTGCAAGAGATATTTGAGAATATTGAAAATGGATTATAATTCTTTTTTGTACCACACCTTACACTAATTATTTGCTTAAACTTTTTGCTTATGGGATATACTTCTCCATCAGAATTAGTTAGATTATGCCATTTAGATTTATCATTCCTTCAATTAGCTGTAGAATAATGCGGTTCAACTAAATGCCACGTATTCAGTAAAAAAAAAAAAAACATCAACGTTGTTGATTTCAAAAACAGTATATGACAACAATGCTCCATAGTATAACTTAATCTTTCCATTTTTTATTGAAGGGCATTTTCAACTGTATCATGTATATTAATTAGTTCTATTCTTATCTTAGATTTTAAATAATTATATAACTACATTAAATACTTTCATGCTAATCAAAGAAAGGTTAATTAAAAAAATAATTTAAATATTACAAGATGTCTTATATTTTGGATCAAAAATTATTTCTAAAAGGTGTTATACAAATATGATTAAAAGAAATATCTTACAAGGAGGTAACTTTAAGAATACATATAAACTAATCTAATTAATGATATCTTGCATGTGCACCACATGGGTTGGGATACTAGTTTTAATTAATGGTACTTACTTATACAACACCCATAGCTAACTTTCAATTGGGGGCAAATATCCTATTTGAAGATATATTTTATGAATTAACTGTCATTTCTTGACTTCTTGATTTAAATGAAGAGGTTGAAAATACTTTATAATAAAAACCAAATGAAGTACATAGGTTGAGAGATAATAGGGGAAAAAAATTAAAGAATTTTAGACTCAAATTCATATTTTTGTGGGGCTTGGGTAACATCTCTTGAAAGAGGTGATAACACAGTTGGGTCATCAAAAAATTTCAAGAAGGCACATCCAGGTGAGTATGTCATCAAATTTTAACTGAAAATCTTAAGACATTAATTTATGAGTCTTTTGCCATATATATATATATATATATATATTATTATCCAATTTTATTCAATGTGGTACCTCTCTCTACACCAAGTTAACTCAACTCACATTGACAATTTAACAATTTTATTATAAATTTTTATAATTTTAAATTCTCTCTGCACGCAAGTTATTTGAAAATTCAATTATTCTAACAGTATCATTTTCAAAAAGTTTTTACTATCAATGCATTTGATACTTTTGTTTCTCATCTCATTTATTGTTTTCACCTTTCTATTTCTTCTTTTGAAATTTTTTTATACTATTCAAAAAAAATTAATGTAAGATTTTAAATATTATAAAATTTAAATTTAAATTCATAAATTAAAATTTTAGTTAACATTAAAATTCCTTCATGGATGACGTATTGAAAGTCCACTTCAATTGGGAAAGAATTGTTCTATTACTTGGTTTCAACTTTGGCTTGCAAGGAGCTGGCAAGGTGGGACTAGTTGGACAATAGAGAAGGGGTTAATGTTTAATTTTGTTCCTATATTTATTTTTTAGAAATTTTAGGTGCCCTATATTTTTTAAATGGGATAATTTTACCCTTAAATTATTTTTTTGAGAAGCAAAAAAACCCCTTTATTAATGAATCATTAACTCTATCATTATATACTGATGTAGCATGTGCGCAGGGCCCACATATAGTGATATGTAAGACTTTGACTATGTTTTTTAGTGCTAATTTATCTTTAAACTTTTTTTCAGGAGTTCTAAGAATCTTAAAGTCTTTTTCAAGGAGAGCTAGATATCTTGAAGTCTTATTAAAATAAAATTTAAAAAATATTTTGAAAATATTAAGTATCTTAATATTTAATAATTTAAATATTATTATTTAAAACAATACACTATCCAATTTAATATTTTAATATTTTGTAATTTTGTATTACAAATGAAGGGGATGAATTTTCAAATTAATGAAAGGATTTTTTCTTCTCATTTTTGCATTTTTTTTCTTGTTAAGTAACTTTTTTTAGCATATTAATGGAATAAGTGATATCTTTTAAATAAATATTTTTGTTGTTATTTTGTTAGTTCTGATTGTCATATTTCTAATTTTACTCCTAACACTGCAATGTATAGAAAGCATTAAATTTGGGTATTGCACTATTTTGTAGGAAGATTATTAGTTGACCAAAAAAAATTAAAAAATTTAATCAATATTAAAAATATAAGTAAGTTCCTACACGTATAAAAAGCATAACGGTTTAAGTATTGTCTTAGAAAAAAGATTGAATATCGATATATAAAAAAAGTCATCTATAAATTTATAAAATGCTAATTTGAGTTGTTAACATATAAAAAGTAATTTATAAATTTTGAATGAATATTTATAAATAATGATATTTAAATTATTAAATATAAAAATATTTAATATTTTGATAATATTTTTAAAGTTTATTTTAACAAAACTTTAAGGTATTCAGTATTTCTAAAAAAAATTAAGTGTTTAACACTCTTGAAAAAAGAGTTTTGAATAAATTGGCATCAAAATATATGATCAAGATTTTATATGTTATTGTACGTCCATGCACATATCACATCAATATATAATAATAAAATTAATAGTTTCTTAATGAAGGGACTTTTTGTTCATTAAAAAAATAATTTAAAAATAAAATTATTTTATTTAAGAGTATATGATGTTTAATACACTTAAAAAATAAGTACAAAAATACAATTAGACTTCAATCCATAAAAAAGTGATGGATTAAATAAAGCCAGTGAAGTGCATGAATATTTAAAATAGGAGACAAGTCAAAGCATGATAGCAGACAAGTACAAGACACATTTATTTAATGTTTGAAAAATAGATAGTAGGTAGGTAGAGTAGAGATATCATAGTCAGAGATGAGGCGAAGGAGGAGGAGCCGGGGCACTCTGTGAAGAGGCTCGATTTCTGGCAGGGGCAGGAGGCGGTGACAGAACTCTTCTTCTTGACCTCTCTATTATCTTCCTCTTCAAACTCTCCTCCTCTCCTTCTTTTCATGCACTCCAACACAAATGATCATCAATTACCCATTATTCCAAATCATTACACATCCACACACACACACACTTGAGCAATTCATTATTGAACTTACCACAGGGATGAGGGGACCAGGCTGCTGTAAAGTGACCCAGAAGGAAAAAAGCTACCAGTACCGCAGCTATCAGCTTCGACTGACCCATGCTTATTTCTTGATACAAGTAGGAAGGCAAGGTTTCAGATTTTATAGCTGAGCCACGTTCTTTTTGTTTATTCCTGATTTCATAGAAAAATGAACCAATCAATTACACTCTCCCATGAGAACCTACTTAATGTTGACTTCTCTGGCTCTTTTCATTTTATTATTAATATCTGTTAGAGTCCCTTTCGGAAATTACAAGGCAACGTGAACTTCAGTGTTGCGCTCAGCAATAGTCTGTCTTCAGTTCAGCCTTCACGCCTTGGTAATGTGCAGTTGGAGTTGCATGATTTCAGCTCAACTTGATTGAAAATTTTAATGCTCGCTATTAACAGAGAGAGAAGACTTTTGCGTATAATAATCCCAGCTTTTATTGTCTCGTTTTCTCAGCTCTGTTCAAGAGTCAAGTAGCGGCAATTTAAATTTCTTGATATGAAGCTGGCAATGTTCACTTGTTATATAGATATTCGTTATTGTCCTTGAGGTGGTGGTTTTAGAGTAAGGCTTTGGCCTACTTCCCATGCGCTAACTTAGCTTTTTGTTTTGTTTTTATTTCTCCAGGAATAGTTGTGATCAGCCTGTGAATCAAGTTGTTGGCTAGCTGATATAGGCACAGCTGCAACTTCCATTTTATAAATTCAGACAGGCATCACGTGACGTGCCTGAGCTCAATGCTTATCCTCCGTGTTATTTCCTTTTTACTCTGCCTCCAACACGACGTCTTCATCGTCTGTCTAACTCTTCATAGCCCAAAATGACCATTCCATTTCTCCATCCATACTAGACAAAGACGCATAACAAGGAAATTGTACGAGCAAATCTGAAAAAAGCTTCTTTGAATTGATCGAGTACAGACAAAGAGTGACCCATGTTGTACTACTTATATACCAGAATAACAACTCTGTAACAGCCCTTCCCGACCAGCTAGGCAGCTATATTGATCAGTTTTTACAACAATCCTAATAACAACTTCTCTAAACTGGCGTGAAGTACTTTGATCTCGTTAACTCAGAAACATCATCATCTCAGCAAGAAACTAAGAAAGCATTCCCGCGCATCTCTCTTCTTTCCTCTTATCTACAAGATCCGTGATGTACAGAGTATATTTCTTGGCTTTACATGAAACACAACAAAAAATCCAATTCATTTGCACACGATCACTATCAAGTAAATTGCATTTTCTCTCAAATTGTCAATTGATCATTTGTCGCGGGCCAAGGTTCTCTTCTATTGCAGATTTGCAATCCTCTAATTCTGAAGCTCCATGATTTACCATGGGTTTTCCCGCTAGTGCTTGATTGATCAGAAGTTGAGTTCATTAATCAGTTCAAGTGTTGATCTAATAGTGCTAAGGCCTGGGGGTTAATTATACATGAATACATGATTTAACTGGGAGGTGGATGAATTGTTTACTTGTTATAGGCACAATCCCAAAAATAATCAAGTTGCACATGCATGGTTGTGGAAAAGTTTATTATCTGCACAAGGCCCGAATCCAGCATGATTGCCACGTTGCTCATACTATATAAAGGGACTTGTAATATTTACTATCTGTACCTCTTAATATGGGCAGGCCGATTTTAGCTTTAAGAATTAACTTCCTCCTCATCATATATCTGAATCGGAATCTTCACCACTCAGAAGGCCACGTTTTGGTCTTCTATCCAAGTCGTCTTCTTCCTAAATTCATTTCATGTACTGAATAAAATCAAATGTCAAGGAATGGAATGCAAAGGGCAACATCTGCAACAACTAATTAACAATCAACCTCTTCTGGAACTTCGCTGGTGGATGGTGTGGTCTGAAAAGGCACACTGGGCGCATGGGTAAGTTTGGACAGTTGATCCAGTACCAGGATCCTGCAAGAAAGAAGGAATTTCAATGAGAAAAAAATCCTCATGTCACCATCGCAAAATTAACATACATACATACATACATATTAGCAGTTAACATACCAAAAAGCTCAATCGAATCATTCAATTGTTGCCGTATATATACATCAAGCTCTTCTATAGACTTTTAATGGCACTCCCTCAACGTAAAAGTAAACTTCCCTTTATCTCTAACAAATTGATACTTCAGTTACATTTAAAAGAACATCAGTGCCTTAACTGACCACCTGCAACGAACTTTACGGTAATAACACATTATTGCACGTACTTTACCTTATCGTTTCCAGATCCTCGGGTGCGTTTTGGTTCTCCGCGTAGGGAGGATCAACATGAAGAGTATAATCTGGGCCAAAACAATCATAATAATCATTGTAAGACAAGTTATTATCAGGTTCCACTCCAACTGCTACTGCTGTCTACAACAAATGAAGAGTTAGGTACATATGCAATAAATAATATATATAATATATATCTCCACTAAAAAAATTTCTCATAATCTTGATAAGGAGGAGTGAAGAGACAAGCCTCGTAACACCAGCAACGAGCAACGTTCTGAACTTTATATCCTCCCCCACCGAGAACCATGAGAGGAACATTGAATGATCTGAGGAAACGAAGCGAATCTGCATGGCCTTTTACAGACAAGTTGAAGGGACCCAACAAGTCACCAGACAAGGAATCAGCTCCGCATTGTAGAACAACAGCATCAGGTTGATAAACCTCCATGACTTTCTGAATAATGACTCGAAACAGTCCATTGAAGTTCTCATCGTCCATTCCATTCCCTAATGGGACATGTAGGGCATAACTTTTCCCAGGACCCGACCCGGTGTCGTATAAGTGTCCAGTGCCTGGGAAGAAATCGTCCCCATACTTATGAAAAGACACGGTCATCACTCTATCAGTGGTGTAAAAAGCCTCCTCCACACCATCCCCATGGTGGACATCAATGTCCACATATAAAACACGCTGCCCAGTGACAAAGGTCATGTGAAAAGCTGTATTCGAGTTACGACAGTTCTAGAAAATTGCAGAGAAATTGAAAGTATACCCTATGAACTTTGAGAAGCTCGAGAATGCCGAGGACGATATCATTGACGTAGCAAAAGCCCGCGGCCTCACATTTCTTGGCGTGGTGCAATCCGCCGGCCCAATTGATGGCAATATCAGCATCGCCATGATTCAATATTGCGGCAGCACCAATGGAGCCACCGGCGGAGGCCCGACAGAAATTGAATAGGCCGTTAAAGACGGGACAGTCCTGGTCGAGATTGAAGCGCCTGAGCTGACGGTAGCAAGTGTTGCCTTGGATGCTCTGGGGCGAGACGGTGGAGAGGAAATCAACGTAGTCGTGGGAGTGGAAACGTCTGATGTCTTCGAGGGTGGCTGGGGAGGGACGGACGGTTTGGAAGTGGCGGGGGAGGTTGTATTGGACAATGAGATTGTGAGCAATGCGGATTCGGACGGGTTTCATGGGATGGTCGGGTCGGTATTCGTAGTCACCGATATCGGGTTCGTAGAAGTAGACGACCCGGCGATGTCTGCCGTCGGGACCCGACGGTAGCGAAGCACCACCGGCTGAACCGTCCCCCATACTCTGACTACTGTTTCCTCGCTCCGATACCCCAAATTCAAGTTCTTTAATTTCCTTCGTCTTTCTTGCCTCTTCTAAGTTCTAACAATCAATCAAATCACATCAGTCTTCATTCTTGCAAGTCATATTACGAGGGACCTCAATTCAACAAAAATTAACGATAAAAATAGAGCGATTAATTTAAATTTAAAAAATATTTGCAATGACTAAATTAAAAATGTAAACATATTATAAAAATTATGTGTGATTTTTTTCTTATTCAGTGCTAATATCTCGATCAAACAAAAATAAAATGTCTTCGTCTAATATCCAATAATATCTTAAACAAGATTATTTTAAATAGAAAAATACTTGTACAGGTTATACAATCAAAACAAATTATTAGATTAATTTGTACTCTTGTAGGGACCCAATGTACAAGTTTCTTGAAATTGTATTCGGATGTTTGAAATTCACACACATCCTACTCCACCTCTTTACTCTTTCATATAAAAGCTTAAAAAAAGTTTGATTACAGCGTTGCCAGCATCTTGAATATTATTCTCTTAAATTATATGTTGACTTGAGGGGGCAAGTCACCGCAAGTGAAGTCCCCGGTCGCCGCCTGAGTAGTTAAGTCAGTTAGAATAAGTTAAAGTCGGTGGAAGTGCATGGTCAAGCCAGCTGGCATCTTCTGCATACGCATAACTGAATGTGCACTAAGCTTAACAAGATTCCAGTTTGTTAGGCTCAACCCATCGTCTTCTCTGTGAAGCATGAGTCCCACGTTCCACAGACCCCCGTGCTCATTTGCGTGGGCCGAATACTCCCACCGACTCTTCTAGACCCATTTTGATCTAACAGATCAAATTGTTTATCCCAAATTTAATATAGGGCCCAGTTCTTTAAGCCCAAAGCTTAAAAGAATCCCTATGGTCTCATTTTGGTCCAATCGAAGTAAAACATTTCACGTCCGTCATTTATCCCCCGTCTCCTAAAGTACAAACATTCCTCCAAACGAATTGATTTCTTTTAAAAAGATAATTATATTTAAAGATTAAATTGAAGGAATTCATATTTGTTGTGTTGGGTTTTAAACATTTTAAAATTTTAGTTATTCATGTGATTGATAATGATAATACATGGTTTGATCATGATGATGATCCTGCATAGGATACATGGGGTGGCGACCTTTGACTTCACTGCGCATATTAATAAATAATTCGGGGCCAACAAAAGAACTGAATCGTATCGACAGCATAGATTGGGTAGGTGGCAGTTGTGTTCTACTTTTTTTTTTTTTTTAATTTATGAGATATTTTTTTTATAAAACTACACATATCAATAAAATTTATTAAATACAACTTACAACCTTATTTATAAAAAAACACATAAATTTTCACAAATATCATTAATTTAATATTCCCTTCATTCAAGAAATGTAAGACATTTTTTGATGAATTGGATATTAAAAAAAATATAAAGTATTTTAAATCTTTTAAAACGTAATCATTTTTTTTCAAAAGTAACCCTATTGAATAGATTATTTTATTTTTTTAGGGTGTCTAATAAGGATAAATATGAAAAAATAAGATTAATTTAAAAATGTAACTACTTTATTAAAAGGTGAGATTCGGTTAAAAATATCTTACATTTTTTTATGGATGGAGTATAACTTTACTTGTGAGTTGTGAATGTTAAATAGAAATAAAAATATAATAAGAAAGAAAGTGTAATATTAAAATAACTATAATTAATAAAACATCATTTTTGTTAAATATTTTAAGACACGCTTAATTACCTATAAAAGTGTTTTATGAGATGGAACTGGGTAGAGAATGCAAAGCTTATGATGTGGATGGTTTACATATTTTTGAAGAGGAGAGAGGAAAGGGTAACAAAGAGGGTGAATTAATTAAGGTAGTTTAATTAAGATGGGCAGATGGCTATCAAACGGAGACGGACAAGAAACTTTAATGAAAGGAAAGAAGAGGAAGGGGATTGGAGTGTAATTAATCATAACTTTTGACTTGTTTGTTAATGGATTGGACCTCATGAAGTACCTAAGGAATCTCTGAACTCTCTTCTTCTCTGTTAATAATTATTAATCAACCCTTCTCTTTAACTTTATCATAATAATAACTCCTTTTTCAAGTTAACCCCCCTGCAATTATGATCACATAACGCCTGCTCTTACTATATACTGCCACCCACCATTAATATGTATTGCCTTGCCTCAATTCTCATATACATTTGTATAATATGTTTAGCAATGAAGAACAAGCGCTCAGAAACAAAGGGGAGGGGAAACAAGGTAAAAGTAATAGAAATGCATCACATATTAATTCATAATTTCAAGGTTTATATTTGTGAGTCATTTATTTTTATTAGCCTAATTTCATATGACATGAGACTTATTACATTGGCTCAAGTTCACTCATACTTAAACAATTTAACAATCTTCTTTTTCTAGTTTAAGTCTACAAGCTTTTTATGTTAAAAACGATCCAAACAATAAGTCTCTATTGTTGCAATTTGGGCCCGCCCAATCTTCATGTTTTAAATAGTGTGGTATATACAAGTCTCTATTGCAGCTAGGACCAATTACATTTTGGATTTCAAACATGTACACAACAACGGGCTTTCAAATCTCAAGGAAAACCTAACTGTAATACTATTTATTAGAAATGAGAAGTGAACTCTTGAAAATAGGGTGAAAGGAGAAACAAGCAAAGAGCAATAATAAGATATCACATCTTAATTTAAAATCTCAAAACTTAAATTTAGAAAAAATATATATGTAGATCCTTAAAATTTTACTCAATTTTAAATTTAGTCTCCGCAGTTTATTTTATTTTAATTGAACCCTACCCTTATAGTTTGATCCATTAAAATTTTCAATCCCTTAAGGTTAAAACCCTTAAATTTTTCTTTGAAAAAACAAAATTAAGAACTTTTATATCTTTATTAAATGACTATATGACTTTATAATTAATTACATTATTTTTATAACTTAAAATTTATATAATTAGATTTTCCACTAAATATTTTTTATACATATAGGATTTTCATAAAAAATAATAAAAATATAAACATGTATTACATAAAACTTTCTTTTTTTTATTTTGTCTAAAAGTATTAAATTAAATTTTTTGTAAAATCCAAGTGTATTTTTGTTTAGTGAAATTTAATAATTCATTATTAATTTTAACTTTCAATGGTTAACATATACAATGGATTAAACTATAAGGATTTGATTAAAATAAAATATACTATAAGGACCTAATTTAAACTTGAGTCAAATTGTAAGAGTCAATATATATATATATATATATATATAAGTTTATTGATTCTTCTTTTTTATTAGTCTAACTCTATTCGATGTGAGACTTATCATATTAGTTCAGGTACACTCACACTTAAATAATGACAGTATGTAGATCTCAAGTTATTAATGAACATATTATCCCTACCTTAATGTATCGTTAACGTGAAGTTAATCACTTGCGTTACATTCATTGTCTTCATGACATCATGCCAGCGACTTGGCTTACGTGTGTTTATGCTGAGAGAATAAACAAAACTAGATCCATGAGACACGTAAAAATGATGCGTTTTAAACCTCAACAATGGACCGGATCCGGCACTTCTGATCAAGCACATCATTGTCTATGCATACTAACATGGCTTCCCCCCCCCCCCCCCCTTTTCAATTCAAGTATTCAATTCTTTATTCTTAAATTTATAATTAATAAACAAAATCATCCAAATTAAAATTAAACAATTCAAATTTCGTATGGTGTTACGGAGAATTTTGAATGTACGTACAATGCAACTTTTGGTTACCCGATTTCTACATCCTTTAATAATATAGTATCATCAATCCATAAATTAAAGTATTTTGAAAAACATGGACATGGCTCCAAGTTTTCAATTCATTCGTTATATTATATAGGTTTTATATATATCTTGGGTCTTCCCGAATTTTTCTCAAACCCTATACTATAAATGCTTTTTTTAATCTTGGACTTTTCATGACAAGATCCCAACTATGCCCTTGAAAAATTAAATATAGGCAGATGCAGGTGAGTGAGTGAGAAATGTAAAAGAGGACGTGGTCCATGCATGGGTTACAAATGGGGCACCAAACAAAATGTTGAAACGTTATAAAACTTATAAGGGGGCTGCATCTGAAAGAGGGGAAAGCACAAATTTAAAGAGAAAACGAAGAGAGTAATCATTTTGGGGGAATTATGAATTAACCCTAACAAATGGTTCGCTATCATTTTGTCACCCGGGCTTCCCTTGAAATCCAAGCCTTCTTGTTTCTTTATTAACCCTTTCATTAAATAAACAAAAAGAAATTTCACTAACCTCTTTTATATTATCGATTGAATTTTTGTAAATTGTTGCGATGACATTATTATTACAATTATTCCTTCTCGTGTTACTATTCATAAATTATTTTCAACATGTTTTTTTTAAATTAATCAAAAAAATTTAAAATTTATTAACTTTCTCTAAAAATTTACTCCCTCCGATCTTTTACTCCTATTTGATCTGAATATGGAGCAAAGCGCAGTGGTTAACTTTTTTTTCCCCTAATATTATTCCTCCTTAATTGTACCAGCATTTTATTGTGGTAATTAATTTTATAAAGGACAGAATTAGAAAGTCAAATATCTTTTACAAATTTAGGGATATTAACTATCATTTGTTAAAAATCATGAAGTTAGTTAGCTTTGCCTTGTAATTAGAAATGAAGGGAATAATAAGATATTTTTAAATGTTAAGTTGGATTTAAATATTTTCGGATCTTAAATGAAAACTAGATCTTCTAATCTTTTTTTTTCTTAACATTCATACAAATTTAAACCTGAAATCTCGCATTTGAGTATGGCCATCACCTATCCTATTGTGAATAACATTTTCAGTGTTTTGTTGCATATATCATCATTCTTTTAGCCACTTAATTAGATGGCAGTTTTTTTCCTTATCAACACGCGTTGTTCGTGAGTATT